AGAGAAGAACCCGTCCAGAAGACCTATACAATTTTTTTCTTTTTGATTTTTTACCTGGATTACTGAGATGCATCAGGACATAGTGGACCTAATTATTTGAGTTATTGCTTTAGGCCTAGTGGAACTAATTTTTAGATTAGTGCTGCCCACCACTGTTATTTGGTATAAAAGGGAATAAAGGAACTATAACCTGGCTCATGAAGGAAATAAGTTATGCTTGTTAAAAAAGCACATTTACTTATTTTTTTCTAAGTGTGGTCTTTTTTTATCTGTTATCCCTTAATACCTTGTTAGTGTTCTTTTAGTGTTTATTCTTGTATTCTTGTTTATTCTTGTAAGTATGGTTGTCTCTCGGCATTCAAAGTGGTCAGCAAAGAAAGAATTTCATTGCTCAAGGAAACATGTTTTCATCTGTGTATATGACAATAAACACTTTGAATCTTTGAATCTAGTAAATAAACCTAAAAATGGCTTGGTCTTGTGGGCATCTCACTTTATTCCAGGTACTGTATTCTGTAATAAACCAAACCATGGCATAAATTAAACTGAATATCTATTGAAACTTTCAAAGAAACCTACCCACTAGTTGAAATTCAGAAATTATTCAGTCTGTGCCAAAGCCACCAACTGATCTACCAATGAAATGTTAAACAGCAACAGAGATGAAACCATTTTTTTGCTCCTTCTGAATTTGCATCAGCATCAACAGGAGCCAGCAGTAGAGGACAAGAACACAGAGAATATGTTGCGTCCTCATTTCCTGTTCTCATCTTCCACTTAGCTGAGGCCTGGAGTCTGTTATGCCATCAAACCACTGTCGTGTCATTACTATGCTGTCAGAGTCGAGTCAGGCTGTTGGGCTGTGGTGAGTAATGAGAGTGAGGTCACCATCTGTGGCTCATGATATGACAGCGGCTGTGGCAGCCCAAGTCAAGCGAGTGGAGTTCTGACATAAAGCCGAGGAGCTAAAGATGGCAGCATGCTTGACAACTTCCAGTCATGAAACCTTTCATGCCAGACAAACAAAATGAGTAACTCATTTTGTTTGAATACATTCAGAACAAGGTTTTTGTGACTTTTGCACCTTCAACATAAGTGTGCTTCATTTTTCTTTTTGAACTCGTATTCATGAACAGCAGAAAGTGCCTCCAGGAAAACTGCGCACAACCAGAAGCAAACAGTGAGAGATGAAGAGGAGGATGCTTTTTTACCTTTCACGACGAGTTCGGCAAAGTTGGAGACCCCTGAGCCCCGAGGGGACTGAGTGACGCAGCGGTACAGGTCTTGGTCGGAGCGCTGAACGCTATCAAGCTGGAAAGACACCACAAAGCGCCGATGACTCAGATGCTTGACCGACGCCATTGTTAAAATGTCCCCATTGTGTCTCTGGAAAGCAAGAGAGGACAGGGTCAGAGAAAATACAGAGGGTCATCATGTAAACCCACCATGTTTCATACACAGGAGGGTAGGTCAGTGCAGTTGTGGTACAATAAAACAGTGACACACACACACACATACCATGTTTCTCTATCCTTGTGGGGACTTTCCATTGACTTCCATTCATTTTTTGGTAATTTTATAGCCTAACCCTGACCATTTACCCTAAAACTAACCTAAACTCAATTCACACCTTGGTCCGAAACTGAACCCCCACACCCAAAATCAGCCTCCGAAGTCATGGCTGCATTTTTCAGGATGCATTTTCCTGAAAAATGGTCCCCACCAAGTAGCAAAAACATTGGACACAAATACACACAAATGTATGAAGGTACTACCACATAAAGGATCTCAAACTATTTGTTAGTTCTTTGAAAATGTGAAAGAGATCACTCTCAGCTAATATAAAGGCAGAAAACAAAGTTAGCACAAAAATTAAGGAAATTTGGTTTTAGTAGATAAGTTCGTTGTTGTAACAATGCTTCTTGGCAATAAATCTTAAATAGGGAACCTGAGTGGCAGCACCTGGGGGTACCAGAAGCTCAAAACAAGAGTCAATAACAACAAAACAAGCTGTTTGGCAAGATGCATGTTCCTTACAAATGTGACACCAAGGAAATTACCAGCTTTCCAACAATATAAGGTTTATTGCCAAGAAGCTTTGTTATAACAAAGAAATAACCTAACAAACACAAATTTCCTTACTTTTTGTGCTTAGTATTGTTTTCCTATTAAACTTCTGAGTTTTATTTAAATGGTTCAAAAATGTTCTCTTTAAAATTTACTTTACCATACTTGCTCTCTTTTGGTCTTTTTAAAGCTACTTTTAGCTTATAGCTAGGATTTTGCAGCCTTTAGCTTCTAGCCGGTGATTTACAACTTTTAGCTACTCTTTTGCAACTTTAGTTTTCAGGTAGTCTTTGCCATTTTAGATACCATTTTGATACTTTGTACCTTTTTGCTACATTTAGTTTTTACCTAGACTTGTGCTACTTTTAGCTTAAGCTTGTGCTATACAACCTTTAGCTGATGGTCTGCTTCTTTTAGCTCTAACAACTCCATTTCAACTTCCTCAGCAAAGTTCAGGGCTAAGCATTCACAATGAATTTTCTACAAAAACAGAATTTATTGAGTTAAGTTTTGTAAACTTGGATATCTGCTTTTATATGTGATCACTTCTGGTTTGCGTGTTTTGTTTCCTGTTTGTTTCAWTTCCTGTTTCATTGTGTTCACTTCTGCCCCATCACACCTGATGGGTCTGTTTGCTAATTGCCACTCAGCTGTTGCTCATCCATCATTAGTTGTCCCAGTAAATATTCTGCCAGGTTTCCTTTGTTCCCTGCCACTTAGCAGTTAATGCTTCATCCTGATCATTTCTGGCTGCTTAGAGGATTTACTTTCCCAATTATCTGGCTTTTTAGCTTTGGCTTCTGTCTGTTCTGCATTATGAGCAATGTAAGTTTAATTAAACACTTCAGTTTGGATCTCACGTTTCGCCTGCCATTTTCAATGCAGTTTGGTCCTCGGCCATTTAAACCTTCCATATTTACGCACACACTTTGTACCTATTGTTGTACCTACCACTTGTACACAGTTATTGCCCAGTGAACTCCAGGGACACTAAGCTAATAATGTAACAAAGCACTCTTGAGTTATTGTTATATGGGTCAGTCCTTATTAGAGCGGTGTCATTAAAAAGGAGAATTGTTCAATTATGTTCAATTTAATTGGAAATGTAGGGCCATCTAGCTGATTAAATCTTGCAATCTGACAATCGGGCATGCTTTAATAAATACAAATGGAACCTTGTTAAAATAATACTGAGAACGGAGATAATGCATGCCATGAGTGTGACTCCTAATGCAGCCCATCTACATGTTCTGTTATTCTGTGAAAACATTTTACTGCCTGGCAGCTGGAAATGGAAGGGAGATGAGCTTTAATGCATCAAGGTTTAATCAGTTTAGGACAAAGTCTAATAAATGGAAGCAGTAGAGTGTTTGCTTTGTCAACAAAAAAATATCTAATTTTTAAATTTTTTTATTATTGGTCACCACCAAATATGAAGTGGCAATAAAGTTTTTTGCCCGCGACTGTGTGTGCACGCACAAGTGTTTGCTTGTCTTTACCTGACAGACATCTAGAACTGATTTAATTTTTGGTGTCAGAAGCATTCAAAATGGCAGCTACAGGTAAGTGATTGGGTTGGGCAAAATCGTGTCGTGTGCAATTAATCGTCAGTAAAACTGTCAACAATTAATATTTGCCACCTTGCAATTACTGTGTGATGTCATGTGATTACGTATTTTCATGTATTAGACACCATCACTATCAGGCAAGCATGTGAGCCCAATAGTGAAAGGCAGCATGGAGCAGTTAATGTTAAACCTAACCTTGCAAACTTGTTTGATCACCTGAAACACCACAGTAAACCGAGTACATAGAAAGCCAGAAAATGCGGACTGACCAAGGCTACAACATCGGCTACAGGCAAGTGCAATTGTGATCTATTAATCGTTATTGGCTACATGCCACAACCAATAGTGAAACATTTTTATACCAGCATGGCACAACCCTAGTAAATGACCTTACCAAACACAAAAACAACTCTAATTTGCAATGTTTTAAAGAGACAGAGGTAAATTTTGGTGTGCTTGTAGGTAGACTTGGGTGGTATGATGGTATACCTCTGTATTTAAATATAGCCATGGTGTTTTACCTTTAGGAGCCTAGTCACATGATCTATTTATCTGTAGCCAAAAAGATATGATTTCTCTGAAACTCTCAATTTGTGTCAGAAGTAGAAACTACAAACTATACACCAGTTTTTAAATTGTGTTGATATGTCAAATAAAACCAAAGTTATGATAAATAATTCACGCTGATTATTTTCAGAATTGGATTGTCCTATTTGATATGCAGCAGCAGGTAAAATGAAACACAGTAGTCTCATAAAAAAACACTTAATCCAACATTAGTCTCATCCTTCTCTCAAGCCGAAAAAACATTAACACTCCAATCTCTTTTCTGACAGAGGCCCATCGTTATTTGACAGGTGCCAAAAAATCTACAAGAAGAAAAGAAAAAGACATGGAAGTTGAATAAAGTTCGAAGGCAAAGGAGAGAGGGCCTTAGCAGGAGAGAATATCATGCCACAATCCATATATCCTCCATGCCCCACCCCTTTCCATCCTGCCCTGTTAGTACCATATATTGGTAATATGTCGATATGAAAAAGATCAGTACCGCCCAACCACAGTGGATGCTAAGAATTTTACCCAACACATATTCCAAGTTCCAACTCTGGAATCAACTCTGTTTGAATGCTAACGAAACTCTAAATAAGTAATTACTGAACACTTCTACAATGGATTGACTTTTGAAGTCACCCAAATATAAGAGCCACCACATTGAAATGACATTAGCCAGCACAAAAATAACTGTGTTCATTTCAGACGATGAGCTAAAATTTGGTGTGCCATTAGCAGATCGTCACCCTCATATTCTTTGAGCGCTAACACGTCTCACAAGTTTTCACAATATCCCAAGAGATAATTTAATTTGCAAGGTTTAACCAAAACAGCTTTAACGCCGTGCATCCTCGTCTTCAGAGGATTTTGGTTTAAAACTCTGGCTCAAAAGCTGTTTTGTGATTCGCACTCCTTTAAGGAAAGCTCAGCGTTTTATTTACAATAAAGAAACTGAAGCAAACGAAGGAACACGTGATGACAAATCTGAGTCAGGCCTGAAAGTAAATAAAAACTAAAGTTGCAACAGAAAGATGGACATTCAAACAAATGTTGTCTTTCACCTTGGTGTAGCTCTGCGAGGGCATTTCTCACACTGTTCCACACCATTAAAACGAGAAGCGTTTGTCAAGCCCAAAGTGTCTGAAAAAACCCACACATAYGATCTGATGTTCRTTCTCGTGTTTTCAGGCGATTCGCTTTTGTATGAAAAGGCTGTATATGATTTCTGATTCTTTCTGATCTCCCAGTTTAAGCACAATCCACAGCATGTCAGTATCATGGAATCAACAACAAAACCTTTGGGTKACGCTCAGTAATCTCCGCTTCTCTTCTACCGCTGATTTTAGGCCTTCAAAAACCACACAAACCACARGCCTGAGTCTCTGAAAACAAACATAAACACACACCCTCTGATTAAGGTTAAGCATAAAACAAATCTTGCAGCCGCAGGAATTTTTATCTCTTTCAAAACTTGAATCATCTTTTCTTCATTGTAAATGCAACTGATCTGTTGTTCTGTATTTGACACTTGTGCATAACTTGTGCTATTTGAGCTATTCATGATTTAAAGCTTCAGCTATTAAAGGAGATGGGTGTTATGACTTTCGCACATTTCAAAGTACTTTACTTAATTTGTGTGTGTGTATGTATGTATATACAGTATACCTTTTCATTGCTGTTCTTTTAAGTCTTATTTAACATTTTAATACGTTTTAGCTTTTAGATAGCTATTTGCTACTTTTAGCTTTTAGTCAGTTCTTTGTTGGTTTAACTTCTAGCTCGTCTTTTCATACTTTTAACAAGCATTTTATTACATTTAGTTATCTTTTTCCAACTTTTAATTTTTAGTTAGCATTTTAATTGTTTAGCCTTTAGATCATTTTAGCCATTTTAGCTGGCCTTTTGCTATATTTAGCTTTTAGTTGTCTTTTTGATACTTTAGCTTTTAGCTAGTGCTTTGCTTCAATTATTTAGCATTTTGCTCATTTTTGGCTATTAGCCAACCTTTAGGTATTTTAGTTAACAATTTACTAATGTTAGCTCCTAGTTATCATTTTGATATTTGTAACCTTTTGATACTTAAAGCTACTCTGTTGTTGTTTTTAGCTAGCATTTTTCTACTTTTTTAGCTAGAGTTTTTCTTTTTTGCTAGACTTACTCAGCTTCTTCAACAGATTGCAGCAAAGCCATTCAGCACTC